ATCAGTAAAATAAATGATACAATGCTTTCAGGGTTTAAAATTAACACTCGCCCACTCGCAAATTGCGAGTAAAATTTGGTGTGGGCTCATAAAATTTATAACTTGCTCGCCCACATGGCGAATGAAAATTCTGCAGTGGCATTCAACCAGTCCCCTTACTGAAAAAACATATTTCCACAGGTTTTTTCATTCAAAACTCCGAACCAATGAAATAAATCACAGCAGCATGGATCTATTGTTCATAATTATTCATCATCTTTTCCATTTAACAGTGCTACATGATTTGTGAAAGCCCTAAAACGATCTTTTTTTCCTAATCCGAATTTCCTCCATTCCTCTGTACATGGTTGATACGTGAAAGATTTACAATTTTTATAACTCATAACTATTTAGTCATATAAATTGTAAGTGTTTTAACTTATTTAAGATATGTTTCAGTTAAATTATTTAACATAGAAAATCTTATTTATGTACCATTGTCACTTCATCAGTTCAACTTGAAGGAGCATATTCCACCATGTAAAACAAAGAATAGTAAACGTGATGCTTGAATTAAATTTTATTTCCTTTGATTAAATATTTATATGACATTTGATTTTTATAAAGTAAGACCTCCAATTTTAAACAAACGTATTTATACACAATCATATTTTATTTGTATCTACTTTTGTCCCAGTGTCCAAAAAAAAAGGGAACAAATTTTTTAAAAATCACAGAATTTGACTGTGGGCTAACAAATTTAGATGTGGGCTCCTAAATTTGAAATGTTAGGAGCCCACATGGCTAGTGGAAATTTCAGTTAATTTTAAACCCTGGCTTTGAAGATGACATTATTGAGAACATGATTTTAGAAAAATATAGCTTTTCTGTGAATTTTGAAAATTGAGAAACATTTTGTCTCAGAGCGGGGGATTGTCCACGCCTTATTCGCCCTCTTTCTTTAATGTTCACTAAATTAAATGTCAATGACTGCACCGAAATTATGTCCAAGATATTTAATATACCGGGGGCAAAGTAATTTATTCTTTTTTTTTTTGACATGAATTCTTCAATCCCGCTTTCATTACAGAAAAGCACTACCATATAAATGTCACTCTCTACCATTGGCTCGTATAAATGTCACAGATGAAAACTTTAAAATGTCAGAAATGAAAACTAAAAAATGCCGGAAATGAAAATTGATAATTGCGAAAAATTCCGGAAATGAAATGTAGCTATTAAAAAATTAGAAGGAGAAAGTGAAAGCAATGAATGACGCAGCCAATAGATAAAATAGACCCTCCCCTTCCTGTTTAAATGTCAGATTATTTTGTGTGTGAAATGTGTTTCTATATAAAATGAATTATTAACAAATGTGTTCATGACGTTTGTTGTATTGATGTGGACATCTTATAAATTAACAACTTCTGATATTAAATAGTATTGTTATTTTGTGTAGAAATGTGAAGAATCAAATTCTTATCACATTATAAAAAATATAAAGCAGAATGGGCACCTCTTTGGGTACAGACCATGAAACATACACTCCATGGGTATTAGTTGTCCTTTGCACCTTAATTCAGACTTCCAAATTGTTTCTTGGATAGTGATACTTTTAGATATTTGTCTGTAAGGCAAAATGTGCCGTCCCATTGTTTAAGTTTTATAAGGTGATTACAACGCCTGTACATGATTTTTCGCGGATTCAACAATACCCCCGATTTCAGGGACGAAGAAATTTCAAAGATAATACTGTAAATCTGGAAATTTTTACGTTGATTTTATTTTGCGAATCTGGGTCAAAATGCTGTTGATTATATTTTTTACGTTTCAAAATTTTGCGAATGACCACTACTTTGTTTACATTTTCTTATTGTTGAATTATTTTTAAGACAAATATTTTTGCGAATGCAATGAATTTGCAAATTTGCTAAAAATTTATCTACAGCAAAAATTTCCAGATTTACGGTACACAATTTTGAGTATCCTTTCCAACTAAATGCTGCTGAAATGGTAATACCAACTTTAGAATCTTGCAAATTTAGGTCCACAATTTGATTGTTTCATGACATAAAACATGTTTAGTACTCCTGTAAAATAAACCACAGTATACATTGTATATGTAATTTATAAGTAAGTACTTTTCATAAAAAGCTTATTGCAAAACTAGTAGGAGATTGGATTTGTAGCTTTGACAGTTGATCAAGATGAGATGTATCACTGGTGTGATTCTTCTTCGCTGTGTGAACAGGAGGTAGACAATATCCTAGTTTTCACAGAGACATAAAACGTAAACATGGAAAAGTGCTATGCAAAGTACTTGACTGTTTAACAAGTACATTTTATATTGAATAATGTACTGGCAGAAGCTAATCTTACAAAGGGTACACAACTCTGCTTAAAGTATTGAAGCTTTTTAGCTCACCTGAGCCGAAGGCTCAAGTGAGCTTTTCTGATCAAAATTTGTCCGTCGTCTGTCGTCGTCGTCGTTGTTGTTGTCGTTGTAAACTTTTCACATTTTCATCTTCTTCTCAAGAACCACTGGGCCAATTTCAACCAAACTTGCCACAAAGTATCCTTGGGTAAAGGGGATTCAAGTTTGTTCAAATGAAGGGCCACGCCCTTTTCCAAGGGGAGATAATCATGAATTAGAGAAAAATTAATGGCATTTTTAAAAAATCTTCTTCTCAAGAACCACTGGGCCAGGAAAGACGAAACTCATGTGAAATCATCCTCAGGTAGTGTAGATTTAAGTTTGTTCTTGTCATGACCCTCAGGGGGTAGGGCGGGGCCAAAATGGCCGATCAAATTTTTACATAGGAATATATAGGAAAAATCTTTAAAAATCTTCTTCTCAAGAACAACTGGGCCAGGAAAGATGAAACTCATGTGGAATCATCCTCAGGTAGTGTAGATTCAAGTTTGTTTAAGTCATGACCCCCGGGGGTAGGGCGGGGCCAAAATGGACGATCAAAGTTTTACATAGGAATATATATGAAAAATCTTTAAAAATCTTCTTCTCAGGAACCACTGGGCCAGGAAAGATGAAACTCATGTGAAATCATCCTCAGGTAGTGTAGATTCAAGTTTGTTCAAGTCATGACCCCCTGGGGTAGGGCAGGACCAAAATGGCCGATCAAAGTTTTACATAGGAATATATAGGAAAAATCTTTAAAAATCTTCTTCTCAAGAACCACTCGGCCAGGAAAGATAAAACTCATGTGGAATCATCCTCAGGTAGTGTAGATTCAAGTTTTTTCAAGTCATGACCCCCGGGGGTAGGGTGGGGCCAAAATGGCCGACTAAAGTTTTACATAAGAATATATAGGGAAACCTTTTTAAATCTTCTTTTCAAGTATTTCAAAGCCATGATTAGTAATATTTATATGGAATTATCCTCAGGTAATGTAGATTCTAGTTCCCCTGGGGGGTTAAATTTCAAGCCCCGCCCCCACACACACTTAAGTTAACTTTCAGTTCTGATCTGATATGTGTTTTTTTTCCTAGCTGATGTGCTCAGGTGAGCGCTGTGGCCCCTGGGCCTCTTGTTGGTTCAAAGTACAGCAAACTATTTTGAGAAGATTTGAAGGGGGGATATGAAGCTGATCTGGGCTGTTAAGGTTGGGTGTCCTCTGTGTTGAGTTGTTGTTGACTTTTTCAGGTTGACCAGTGTGAGGTAGATACAGCCTTGTTGTTCGGCCTGTCAACATGTTCCGTGTTAACTGTTCAGTATTTTGGCACTATTGTTATTTCAGCATGACAGGTGCACATGCAGGTCCAAGTTCTATAAATAGAGTTTTAGTGTTTATTGTATGGGTTTTCCCCCAGAGTTACAAAATTTCACTACAGCATCCAAATTTGATAACCACAGCATCCATATCTTAAGGATATCTGATGATTTAAAGAATGTCAATTTCAAATTTAAAATTACATAGAGGTACAAAGTATTTTAAATATGCACTGTAACATTTGCATCAGAATAAAATCTTTCAAATACATGTCAAAAACTTTCAAAGACTTGAGATGTGTAATAAGTTCAATATGTCCTTTGGGGGAAATTCTTTGTAGTTGTTGATAACGATGGTTTACCTTTGTAATATAAAATTCTGTGCATTTTTCAGTTGGACTACATGGCATTGATAATTCCTGTCCTTGTTTCAGAACTTAACTGTACATTTATTTTAAAATAATACAGAGCATGTTGCAGTCTTTCTCAAAGTACATTCTGTTGGTCGGATTGCGAAGCAAATATCTATGTTTTTAGGTTGTAACAGTAATAATATGTTTTGTTCAATCCTTCTACAATTAGAGTGTAATTGTCAATATTAAAACTTAAGTAATTACACACGGTTTGAGTGCAAGTTTTGACTTGAGATATCTGTAGAAGGACAAAAGATTACTTTCATAGAGGTAAAACATTATGAGATGAAATATAGAGAATACATAACCTTTTCTATATCACACCATGTCAGCCCAAGACACCAATATCACCCAAAGTACCATAATTGAAATCCTTGTGTTTTTTTTTTTAATAAAAAAAAATCAAAATTAAGAAATTTAAAATGGCAATACAACTGTGTCCAGGCCCTTAAATATATCTATTTAGGATTGTCATTAAATTTTTTTATTTAAAGTTTTTAATGCATTAAGATAAGACTGACAAGCCATACTTTTCACTAAGTCAGCATTTTGGCAGACTATCAGGTTATCCAAAATCACTTCAGAGTTGAAATGACAAGTGAGGAAAAGGAATGTCAAACCCTCTGCAGACAATTTAGGACAAAGTTTATTTCATACAACGGTAAATACTTCGCAATCCGGCCATGTTGTCTTTAGCAATTTCTTGTTCTAATTTTTTGTGAACTTTGATATTGTTAGAATTTGGATTCATAATGCTCTACTAGCTTCCAAATCTGTTGGGGATTAAAAATTTCTTGGTACTTGAAATTCAGTATTTGACAAAGACTGTTTAAACAGTAGCCACCTAACTAATATTACATTGTTAAGAATGTTTGTTTCAGGTGTGGATTCGCTGACCACAGATACATTAGGTACAGATTTATTTATATATATGACAAAGTGCATGGTCTGGTATGTCTAACAAATTGAACATGCTGAAGTTGCACAATGATGATCACTTTGCATACATAAGTCTGTTCAAGTCAAACCATCCTGATAAAGGTGATGTGTGCATGATATATGTACTAAGTCAAATAGTGTTTGCAGCACCCAAGTGTCAGAAATATACTGGATCAAATGATATGGGATAACTCTCATCTTGGATGAAAGATTTTAAGCTCACTTCCACAATGAGTTTTTAGAATGAAAATTTATATACTCAGCATACCAGTGTAAATTTCAGATATGTGTTAGGAGTAAGTCCACTATGCTGACCAAACCTACATATTGCTAGTTGAGTGGGAAAGTTATGCTGACCAAACCTACATATTGCTAGTTGAGTGAGAAAGTTATAAGTTCTTGGATCCAGTCTATTCCATTGTGACTGTGAGCTGTATCGCAAGTAAACTTGCAGGAATAGATGCCTCTAGGGATGCTTTCTACCAGGCTTGCTTTTGGATGCTAGATATAATCTACCTTTTTAATATGGACTAGGTCAAAGGATTTTGAGCAAGTCCAATGGCTATAAGCTTGTAGTGACCAACTTGATGGATAATTCGTATAGGGTTGCACATTAATCTCATAGTATAAATAAGCTCTTCTTATTATTAACCACTGTCTGCTCATAAACAAATTTAAATAAAAATCATGCTGTAGTCCCTAAACAGTTACTATCAGTAACTAGAGTGTTCCAAGGACTGCATGAGATGCCTGTTTTTAGGTTCATTTAAGATGTAACTTATCTTAGAGTGGTCAGCTATTTATATGCTACCAGAATTAAATTCATGAAAAAAAATCCAAGGACAGTACAACTGCCATAGAATCAAATAGAAATACAAAATCTCCAAACCTGCAGATGTAAAATAGATATTATCTTAATAAAGTTATTACAGAAACCAAACAGAATGGGACATACCTGTATGCTAATTTGGCATAATAAAGAAAATTTTATGTGGTAGGAAAACATACCTGAAAACGAAGAGAATTAACTGTATGTGTATAAATATCCAGGTTTTTTTTCTCTGAGAAACTAAATGTCAAGGTCTTCTTCAGGAAGTTAATTTCAATAGTTTAATGCAGAGCTGCCAACCCTTACGATTTTGGCGTAAGGCGTACGAAATTGGCGTCTAAAATGCGCTTACGATTTCTCTCTATATTCTTCAAATTTCAGTTTTTCTCCTTCAAAGTTTATAATATCGGTATTTTCATAGCTGGCAGTCTATAGTTTCTACTGTTATATTATACTCATAATTCTTGCAATGCTTGCTTGTATCATTGTTTTGGTTTTAAAGGCCGATCACGTTCATGTCAATGTTTTAAAGTATACAAAATGGAAACATGCCTCAGATTGCATGTCAATTTACAAAACATCTTCAGCGGCAGGGGGCCTAGGTGGTCCCTAGACCATGCCTTACTATTTGTCATTTCAGAATGTTGGCAGCTCTGTTAATGCCAACAAAAGTCAAGACTTCATTGAATTGCATAGCAATTGATTAATCAAAAGTCTTTAATTACAGTGGTGCTGTTGTGTCAATATTGGAAATTTACCCTCAGGAGAGACAAAAATGATTTCATTTTACCATCAACCTGAATGTAGGATCATTGTTTTCCTTTTTAGCTGCATGTTTGACAAGAACAGCTGATATGTCTTTATTAATTAGTGTTCTAGTGCATTTCATACTAGTCTTGTATACTGGTGTGTAATGTAAGTGATGTGGTGTCTGGCTGCCTGGAGTGCCTTTACTAAGTCTCTGGAGTACTGCTTTTCGTTGTAACATTGTCTTGATAAGTGTGATTGATGGATGGAGTATTTGTTGTGTCATATATGCACTTTTAACTTTGTTTTAATAAAAAGTTGCAGAAAATGGTGATAGATTCATAACACTGCTTATTAACAAGGTTGATGTGAACTAAATGCACAGCAATCGGATTCTAACAGCATGTTAACATGCACTTGACAGAGACATCTGTATAATAATAACAATAAAAGGTAAAGGATAAAAAATGGGTAATTATCCTGGACAATACCTGCAAAAAAGAACCCAAACAAATAAAACAAACATAACATGAATTTTATAACAATGTATTATCATGATTATATGTAAATACAGTTCAAGAATTATAAACAAAACATGTCTATAGAAGTTCTTATACTGTGAAATCATTGTTCCTGGGGTTCAATGTTTGCGGGTCACCCTTACCTAAATTTACATCCCCACAAACATTTATTTAATGAACATATTAATTCATTGAATCTACAGATATAAACTGCATTGATCCCCATGGATTAAAATGATTTCACAGCAACTGGTTGGTACAAAACTAATATGATAATAGAATAAAGATATATTTTTATTTACAGTAAGATTTGAATTGTGTGGGTGTTGTTTTGTAGATGCCTCTATTCCTGCAGGGACAGTGCTGTTAGCCAATGGTGTACCTTATACATATCAGAATGGGATGGCCATTTTCCACGCCCCAGAAGGAGGGTACCCTGTAGCCCAGCCACAGATCAGTTCTGTAGGTTCACAGAGAAAGCATGACCAGGGGTTTCATTAAACACGCAATAAGCAACTCTACAACACTTAATGATGATATGATAGATTTAGATTTTTTGATTAATTATCCCCATGACAGGGTAAGGCCACAGAAAGATATGAATAAATTGTGTAGAATTTTTCATAGATATTAGAGAGGTTAAGCAGAAGACCGTGTACGTCTACTTGTACATGTAGCTAGAGAAATCCCCTAATTTAATACGATTCACGTCATCAGTTTTGCATACTGTGTAATTCTACAAGTTGTACACAATGTGTAGATTCCCAAGTACTTGTAGCTTCTTAAACTCAAGCTACGGAATAAATATTTTGCAGTCGGTATTTGGTATGAAGTTGAGAATTTATTACGAACATCCAATGTATCTTTTTATGCCCCCCTTCGAAGAAGGGAGGGCATATTGCTTTGCTGCTGTCTGTCGGTCGGTCTGTCGGTCCACTTAGTTTCCGTTCATTTTCTTCGCAACCGTTGCACATACTGAAATGAAATTTGGTATACAGATATATCACATGATTATCTAGGTCAAGTTTTGTTTCGGGTACGATCGCGCCATTTTTGACAGAGTTATGCCCCTTGGACTTAGAAAAATTCCAATTATTTGCAGTTTCCGTTCATTTTCTTTACAACCGATGCACATACTTAGATGAAAGAACTATATGCGGTACATTGCATATGTTTGCCCCCACAAAAGTCAAATTTTGAAAACTTCCTGAAATGTGCTGAATTCAATAAATTGTACGAGAAATATAAGTTAACAGAAAATATTGTAGTCCCAGAGCAGTGTATTCACAATTTCTGTTTTTATGACGTCACAAACTAGTCCGATTTTATATCCTTTTTCAGAAAGAGGACAAAATGGACAAAATTTCAACAATTTAAGCTTTAGAATTTATAGAGCGCATGTGTGTTCAGGAACAATGTTGACATATTTCATTGATATTATCATTCTACACATTATATCAAAATATTAATCCTGAACACACATGCGCTCGGTGACTTTTATTTAAAATATCGACGAAATATGTACATTTTTCTGCAAAATTCATAAAAAACTGAAATTTACGTCATATTTGTGACGTCATTACGTATATATGACGTCATTACTTATGAAATTATTCAGTGCTTTGAAGTCAGCATATACTCCCCTGTTTAAGCTAGGACTTAATTAAATATTACTCCATCAAAGTTTGATTTTTGGGGGCAAATGCTGGTTAATACCGCATATAGTTCTTTAGCATACAGATATATCACATGAATATCTAGGTCAAGTTCTGGTTTGGGTATGTTCGCGCCATTTTTGACAGAGTTATGCCCCTTGGAATTAGAAAAATTCCAATTATTTGCAGTTTCCGTTCATTTTCTTTGCAACCGTTGCACATACTGAGATGAAATTTAGTATACAGATTTATCAGATGAATATCTAGGTCAAGTTCTGTTTTGGGTACAATCGTGCCATTTTTGACAGAGTTTTGCCCCTTGGACTTGGAAAAATTCCAATTTGGGGGGAGGGGGCATAAGTGTTTTACAAACATCTCTTGTTTATTTCAAGTCATAGATTTATTTGATACAGATGGATTGTAAATGCCTTGTTGAAATGACGTTTTACACGTACCGGTACACGTTCAATTTGTTAAACAGAAAACGACATTAGTTACGCGTCAGTGTAAAACCACTTCTAGGTTTACAAGTAGACGTACACGGTCAAATGCTTAACCTCTCTAATGTTAAACATTATTTTCTTTTCTTTAAAAAAATAATTAAATGTGCTAATAAAAGAAGTTACAGAATTTAAAGTACATCAAGAACATAAAATATTTTAAGTCTGGTAGTTTAGGGCAACAGTGAGGAGTTCAAGGCTAGGTCAGTAATATCAAAATTATTCTTCTGATTTGGAGTATACCTTTGTATTTATGTCATTTATTTTGTAAGATAATGAGTAAAACTAGTGTTCATATCAGATAGAAATGACATTTTTTACTCCAGGCATCCTTATCAGCAATGATGGTCCCTCAAACTCCAACAATGTACCTAGCTCCTCAGTACACATATCCACCGGTAAGTTGTCAAGTAAAAACTGTCATTTATAGCTCACCTCAGCTGACAGCTCAGATGAGCTTTTCTGATCACATTTTGTCAGTAGTCCGTCCTTTTTCACATTTTCGACTTCTTCTCCAGAACCACAGGGCCAATTTCAACCAAACTTCCCACTTAGCATCCTTGCGTTAAGGGGATTCAAGTTTGTTCAAATGAAGGGCAACATCCTCATTCATGGAGATAGTTCAGAAATGGTGAAGATTTGGTGGCATGTTTTAATAATCTTAAGAACCACTGTCATGAAAGATGAAACTTGTGGGGAAATATCCTCAGGTAGTGTAGATTCAAGTTTGTTCAAATTATAACCCCTGAGGATAGGGGTGGGACCACAAGGGATGATCAAAGTTTTTCATAGAAAAATATAGGAAAAATCTTCTTTTAAAGAACAGCCAAGTCATGATTGATCATATTTATATGGAAGCATCATCAGGTAGTGTAGATTCAAAGGAAATGGGTGAACTTAGCGTGCAGAAAGCCCACTAGCTTCAGATATATAAAAATCATATTCAGATTGTGAATTTAGTATTTTTAGTAAGGTTCTCATCATTTGTTTTTATGAAGTCATAATAAACAAAAAGTTTTGAGGAAAATTTTCGTTAAAATTTATTCTTTTATATAAAAAAAAAAATAATATGGTATCCCATGGGTACGAACCCGGGCAATAAAAATCCTGATTTGCATTCTCTATTGAGACCAGCACGCTAACCACTACGCTACACAAGTCCTGCTGAAGTGTGGCATTTAAATCATGTTTGTGATATGACCATTGAATTCTGGGACTTCAAGTATTTCTTGAAAAGATACGAAAGTTTTGTCATAAAATTATATTTTAAGATACAGTGGGTCTTTGCTCCATAATTTTGGAAACCAAAATATGTATGTTTTTATGCAAACTTTGAGGATTAACTTTCAAAAAAATGGAGAGAGGACCCACTCATATCGAAAAATAGTGTTATAGTGTGAAAATATAACTCGATTTGCCCTCTTTCACGTGTGTTTAATATTTTATAGACTAATAACTTGAATCTTCCTGAGATTTGCGCAAGTTGTAGAGACTTTACTTAAAGTATACTTTAATGTTAGATGAAATATGAAGGAAAATTTTGATATAATTGAGATCTAATTTTTCACCTTTATGTTTTTTGCGCTATAGGCTTATCTCTCGTCATGTTCACCCATCTCCTTTGTTTAATCATTTCCCTTTGTTGTAGGGGGGCGGGGCACAATGGACGATCAAAATTTACATATGAATATTACGGAATTTTTAAAAAAAAAAATCTTCTCAAGAATAACAGCCGTGAAAGCATCCTTAGGTAAGGTAGATTCAAATTTGTTCAAATCATGATCATCATGATCAGGGGGGGGGGGGGGTATTCAGGGTAATTCAAAGAGAGATGTGGCCAATGGGCCTCTTGTTTAGATTTCAATTCTACAGATAATATTCATCATATTCTCATCAAACCTTTAACTTGTACAATTTCTCCATGTTGCATTACTAACACCCTAGGTATGTCCTGTGGACATATATCTAGTTTAATCTACTATATCAGATTTGCATATAACATATTTCTGTGATGGTCTATAATCATTAAATGAGTATTTTATTTAGACAACCCCACACTGGACCTCACCCACTGGACAATGGAGATGGAACACTCCACAGGTAGTATACTATTAAATTGCTTTCTTTGATAAGATTTGTTGTAAAAACCAAAATTTCTGTGATTTGTTAGTTCGAAAGTACCACTCCTCTTATAGTTTGGATCTGATTTCAATATAACTTTGCACACATGTAATCTACACTGAGATACATAATTAGCTCACCTCGACAAAGTTGAGATGAGCTTATGCTATACCCCTGGTGTTAGTGTCAGTGTCCCAGGTGAAAGTTTTAGGAGCAAGTCCATTCCCAAGTAACTATAAGCCCTATCTGTACCAAACTTGCATGGATGATGCATCTAGGGATGGACACTACCAGACTTGCTTTGGATGCTGGATCTCAGGCTTGGGGTCAATTACTTTCAAATGTAATTAATTACTTTCAAATACATTGATAATTTTGTCAATTACTTGCAATTACAATTACATTGATTTTTTCAAATGTAATTAATTACTTTCAATTACTTTGACAAATGTAATTAAATACATTTCAATTACGAGTTTTATTTTTATAAAAAAAAAATAAAGATTTTTTAAATAAGATTTTTTAACTATAACTTTCATTCAGTGTTTTTGTTCTTGGGTATGATAGGGGTTCACACCTTCAAAATTAGACCTTTACCTTATAATGAGTGTGACACACTGTATAAACAAATTAAACATTATGAGACAATTAATTATTGTACAAACACAAGTCCATGCTACACCAGTATGGTGTATGGCAAGATCTTTTTTGTTACTTTCTCAAATCTATATTTTTGAAGGAAATTAATAATATCTATTACAATTCCATTCAATATTTTCTATCTTAAAATGAATAGAATACAGATAAATCTAAAAGGGGATGTACATTATTGTAAAACAAATTAACTATCTAAACAATCATTGGTAATTGCAAGTGGGAATAGGGAGAACTGAGATTTATAAAACATGGGAATAAGTAATATAAACCCACCAGTATAAAACTATGTATCAGTATAAGACACCTTTTTAAATATAAACTTTCATTTTGAAAAAAAGTAATTGAAATGTAATTGAAAAGTAATTGAAAATACATGACCTTTTTGGAAATGTATTTAAATACATTCAATTACTTGTAATTGAAGGCTTGCTCAAATACAAATTACTTCCAATTACTTTGAAAAATGTAATTAATTACACTCAATTATAATTACTTTATTCAATTACCCCATCCCTGCTGGATCTGACCTACATTTTCCAGTTGAGTGAACAGGTTATAGTTCTTGGAGCAGGTCCATTTTCAAGTAACTTTAAGCCCTTCCCGGACCAAACTTGCATAAATGATTCATCTGGGTATGGACACTACTAGGCTGGCTTCGGATGCTGGATTTGGCCTACATTTTCAGATGAGTGACCAGTGTAACGATTTTGGAGTAGCTCTGTAATTTTATGGCCTGTTTGATTTAACTTGCATGGATGATGCATCTAAGGATGGACAATCCAGACTTGCTTTAGATGTTGGACCTGACCTACATTTTCCAATACTTTAAGATCTAGTTAAACAGAACATGCATGAATATTGTTATCAGGATAAATACCAACGATAAAGAAAAAATATGATTTGAGATTTGCATTACTTAAATTGATAGCATTCATCGAGGTGAGCTTCACAATCTTTGATTACCTATGATTTTATATCAGTTTTTGATTTTGATGAATTGACATGGTTACTAAAAATTTTAGTGAAATTCTTTCAAAAGGTTTTTCCTCAAACAGTTTTAATCTGATAGCAATAAATTGTGCCACCAAGGACCATTATTTTATTGCTGTTGCATTTTTTCAAGTGCTATTTTCCTTTGTTACAAATACAAACCAGAAGAGCTAAAGTCTCACCAGAGACTTCTGGTTTTCTATTTCTCATTCCTTATGCTGCACCCTATTTCTACCCCTTGGAAGGGCTCTTACTTGATGGGTCAGTTCTTTGGTGATACTTGAAATTCTTTATTTGATTTTTCATCAAATGATCAAAATTGAAGCATAAGATTTAAATAATAGGCTGGTTTACAGTGATTTCCATTATCTTTTGCATTGGAGAAAAAAGTGTTCAGGGTGAAAACAGTGATGTAACAATAGATGCTTTTGGAAAAATAGTATTCCTCAGCAGGAAAAGGCAAAAAAAAAAAAAGTAATGATAATTAGCTCAAATCCTGTATGTAAATATCTGATCAGGCTAATGTAATTTGTGGATAGATACATCTCCTTAAAAAGCATGTGCTGAAAAAAGATTTGTCAGAGACTGTTTACTTTTGGAAATTTTAAAAGTTTTGATTTGTGGTGTCTTGTAGACGTACATTAGTGTGTACAATTGATTAATTGCAATCTGGCAAATAATTTTGCAGTTGATTTCTTCTCTACTGTACACACAATTTTTTGGTAGAAAATATATATATATATATATATATATATGAAAGTGAAAAAAAACCTAAAAGACTGTACACACTGCGGTTTCAGAGCCCTCAGCAGGCAGTAACTGGATCACCAGGTTATATTTATGCGACAGCCATGCATGGTTCACCAGAATTGATGTACGCTCAAGCTCCACCTCACGCCTATCCTACTGAACATGCTGATCCCACCCTGATGTCAGACGGACAACAAACAGTGGAGGTAATCTCACCATACATGTAAACTAGGGAGTATTTCATTTACAAAAGTTTGCAGTGGAAAATCACTTGACATACAATCATATCTGGTGATTAAAACATATCCATAATTAAGTGAGATGGAAGCAGTTTTCATTTAAGTTATCGGCTTTGATTTCATTTCGTGGATAAGAAACTGGAATTCCAGTACCAGATTTCTTTGTAGCATGTTAACACATCATTACCTGCGAACAATTTAACATGCAAAGGGGGCTTTGTAAATTTTGAGATGACATATATTTTTATTTTAATACATTGTTAGAAAGGGAAGTATGCCCCTTCTAGAGCTCTGATCATTCCATTTCTTGTGATTTTTTTTCTACAGATTTTTTTTTTACATGAGTTATAGTGAATAAATAGCAACTTGTAGTCTGTCCTGGTATGCAAATTAATGTGAATGCTTATATTAGGTGAGCTTTTTTGTAATCCAAAGTATTCACTATATTTTAAATCCATGGGCTTCCAGTACCAAACTTTTTATAAGTGTTTGTTTTCATTTCCTTACATTATCCCATTTTTGATGTTTTGAATTTCAATGATATTGAATTGATAGTTTTTAATCAAATTCTAAATCAAGTTTCACATTGAATTCTGAGCTACTTTGAATAGCCAGAGCTTTCAGCTGACATAATGACCTTGACAAGTGTGATGTAGTGGACTCTTGGCATGCTAGTTTGATTGCTGGAAATAAAAGGCACAAGTCCCTTGCATAAATCTTGTAGATTAGACCTTATTATATGGATAATTGTTTAGTACTGCATGAATTTAATGTAATGCTCTCTCACTATGATGAAAACTACACTAAAGCAAATTTCCAAATGAAGAGTAAGTATTTTGCATGTAACTTTAGAACAAATCTAACAAGCTATCTTACAAGCTACGGTAAGATCTGGAGAAGATTGAGGAGAACATTTGACTAGGAGTCTGAGATTGTTTTGTAGATAGAAGAATCGGCCACCTCCAACTACCTGCTGGCTTACCCATCTGCTTCCCTGCCAGCTTCTGCTCTCACCTATCGCATTGTCGCCCCCTCTACTGCTGTCCTCAAGAAGTAATTCCAATATCTCCAGCTTGAGGCACTAATGCTCATGTGTGCATGATTCCTCTGAAAAGTTTTGCTTTGATCTGATGAAATTTTTTGCAAAAGGGCTGATATTGCTATTATAAGCATGCAAAAGCAAGTTATAAAATTTATGCATGTTCTTGATTTTTGAAAGGTAACAAAAGGCATTCCAAATTTGTGAAAATATTTCAGCTGTATCACAAAGTTGAGAGGGTGCAAAAAAATTGGAATTAATTTTTTTAAGGAGAAAGGAGGGACAAAATATAGATTATAGACAACTTTGTGAAGATATTTTGCTTGTTAAGATAATCTTATTATGTTATAATTATGGAATTTTTAAAAAGGAGAACTAGAAATTTTAGGGTGAGAACCAGCTGGATTGGAGAGTTTATCAGTATATTTACTTTGCCAGAATATGTCTTGTTTTTATTATAAATCCAAAAATCATGATTTTAATGCATGTAACAATACATCAATTTTTATTGGGCATTTTGGTATTTAATGACTATTGATATTTGTTTTCGTAAAATGTTTTGTCTTTGCAAACCTTGTTGACAATTTATACACAAACTCTGCAGATAAAAATCGGAGTATTTTCTCTAAAATGCAACAGTGGAATTAGTTGAATGGTACTACATACTGATGTAATTTTTTTTCAATGAAGTTCGTTTTTAGATGTCATTTTGAAGCCATACATGAAAATCTACACAAAATATCATTCGCATAAAACTGACAGTATAAGTACAATTTGCATGTCTTTTTGTGAAATTATTTCAGAGAATTTTTTCCTTAGAAAAGTCTTGTGAAATTATTTCAGAGAATTTTTTACCTTAAAAGAAAAGTATGTAAGATTTGAATGTTATCCTTTTTAAATGTATTTCTTGAAGTTTTGATATTTTCATGATAACCAGCTTAATTTGAAGATTAAATTAAAACCTGATGGGGGAGGGGAATGTTTCTGGTTGCTAGTTGACTGTTCCTTCATCACACTTGTTGAGTTACTTATGGTATGCTGGAGTTGTGTTGCACCTTTTTAGCTAAAATTCTTCAAATCAGTTTGCTGTAAATCAGTTCTTATGAACTAATTACAACTTTTACTGAAATTTATGTAATCTGTTACGTTTTTATCCTGTTCATTCTACTGGCAACTCGATGGAGTGTGTCAAGACAAATAGAAAAAAAAAATTGAAAAATTACGGAATTTTTAAAGGGAGGATGGGCCTTTTCTTGTCTGGTTTGTGAATATTTCATCTAGAATAGTTCAGTATTCCATCTAGTTTAGTTCAGTGCATGTTCTAGTATTAGTGATTAACTTAAACAATTCAGGTTGAACCAAATTTATATTATGAAGATGAAAAAAATGGAAAAGAGAAAATACAAAATTGAGTTTAAATTTTAAGAAATTCCTGGATTGTTTTAAGTTAGTTCTACAGATGCATGTTATAGTTGAACCCAACTTATTTCAGGCCAGTTTGCTACCGAAGCCAATAGAGCCATCCATTTTGACAGCCCACCCTTACCTTACAGAAAATGTAGCCATGACAGAGTCCACAGAAATACTGCCTCCAAATACCTCTCAGATCAGCATGGGGGCCCAAGCAGGGCTCCAACCTCTGGCACTGCCCTACAGTTCTGTCGGAAGCCTTGGTAGCGATCCAACTAAACCCTCAACAGTGTTTACTCGACCTATCTGTATTAATAGCCCCTCTTCACAATACATAGGGGGTGCATATCCTAGTTTAGTTCCCTACCAACCCTCTGTGTCGGCTGCTTCTCAGGGCCCTATAACATATTCTTCTGTGTCTGCCACTGTGGCCCCATACCACAAAAAAGGCAATTCAAACTCCATCCTTCGTCGTCCTTATACAAGTCCTGCAATTATAGTAAAACATGGCCACAAAATGCAGAGAGTAATGATGCCTAGTAAAGCTGTAACAGCAAACGGGCAACTGACCTACTTGCATAGCGATTGTGGTGCAGGGGGTGACATGTCCAGTGAAACAAAGAACACAATACTCACCCCTCCCCCAACTCCTGATGTTTGAATAGCCAGCAAGTTTTATCATTTTGAGATTTTGTTGCCAAGTTTCTTCAGTTTTTGTTGTTGTTGTTTTCAGTTTTATTTTTAAACCCAGAGATACTTGAATAAATTTATTTTGGTCTAAGATATCTTTAGGAGTTCAAAAGTTTCACACCGCTGGGATAAAGAATTGTATGTATTAAAATGTTTTTAAAAAAAAACAAACAAACAAACAAACATTTTGCTAAAAACAAAACTTGCATCTAAAACATCAGCATTGGAAAAACTGAATTCTAGAAACAGCTGTTATTGTTTCATGTGGGCTCTCATTCTGATACCCTAAAGTATTGATACATCTTTATAAAGTACTTTATTATGCACATTTTTTTGTTTATTGGTCTATTCTGGAAGAACCAGGTTTAAGTGTGTGTTTTGTCAGCAAGGTTTGCCAATGTGTCCTAATGTTTTTAATACATGTGTCACCCCTTATCAATTTTTTTGTCACATTAAATCATACTGCATGTAATGATTATGCCTGTTAACATTAATGTCATCATATAAAGCAACGAAAAACTGCTCACTAGGCTTAAAGGACTTTTACTAAATAGAGATAAGTATCAGGAGAAACAACATAAAGTATGTAGTTGTAAGAAAACAAAATTAGATGCTGATTTAACAAGCATGATGTAACAAGCCTTCATAGTGCATGTAAAAATTAAAATGTATAATATCTTCTTCCATATTAAACATTTTTGCATGTTCATAACATATTTCTTAAGTCAAGGTTATTTGTCATATTTTGAAGTGAAATGTAATTGAGTTTTACATTACTATCATATATTTTCAAAATGCTAAAAGATAAATTTGAGTAGGGAATATATTTTTTCATGCATTTGCCTTAAGTAGTGTAGGATTTCTAGAACAGTTTTATGACTTTAGATATTTTAAATTGTGAGGTCCCTGTTTATGGAGTATATATCTTGCCATTTTTCACTGTATTATATATTTGTTGAAAATTATATTTGGGCTATTTTGTTGTCGTCTCTTTTTTTTGTTCCCATATTTAAAGGTAATTTAGAGGTAGAAAAAAGTATGTTTTGATATTGTATTGTATATACACCTGTTAACATCATATAATACTGTTACAGTCAGTCCCTTATTCATTAAAATCCTTGTTTTCCTTTACTTTATTCATTACCATTCCATACTTGTTTTTTTGTTTGTCTGTTTTTGTTGATGATCAACACATATTTTTGTTATCAGATTATTCTCTCTAAGATCATCTGCTTCCCCAGTTTTATTTTTCAGTAGATAAGTTATGAAACACAATAGAAAAACAGAATTCAGTGGCAGTCAAAACCTTACTCTTTTATTTTTCAAATAAAATTCCTGTACATTCTTTTCTTGGGAGAATTCTTTTTGAATTCATTTATTTGAAAAATTTTGAAATAAAGAGAAAAAAATCTTATTTTCACATGAATACTTTTGATTAAAAATAAATAGTTATAGGATAGGATTTAAAATATGAACTTTCTAACAGTAGCCCATACAGGAAGGTTAAGTTGGTCAATATTGGTTAGAGTTCATAGACTTTGATGTACTTCTGCCATATCAAATACATGACATTTTCCTTTTAATTTGTGCCTCTCTCATTGTAAAGTGCTTTTTTCTGTACATATTACGAGGCACCGTGCTTTGTGTAACTATTGATTTGATGTATATTTATTGTAATAATCTTGAATGATCATTTGGACAATTCCAAAACCAGTCACGAATCCAAGAAGCAGATTGCTTTTCTGTGTTTTGTTTATAAGCAGAGTGCACCATGAAGATGCATACAAAAGTTTTGAACACTCTGCTGCTGTCTTGTCAATCACAGAGAGTGTTTCTGATTTAATATTTGCCCAACTAAATATAGACAGTTGGGTAGAAATGTAGATAGTCAAGAGAAACTGTCTGTAGGAAAAGCATTCCTTTGTCAGATAATCCTGCAGTGGGAGAGGAATTGTTTCAGTTGTGTGAATGAAGTGTATGCCTGTCCTAAACATTTGATTATATTTTGTTGTCAGTTGAAGTACTGTATTCTCCCTATTAAGTACCTCTGCCCCCAGAAGTGCACCTTGATGTATTTTCTCACGTATCGGAGTTAAAAATTGAAATGGTCACTGTGAATGGTGCAAGTTGATAGAATGTGGAACTGTATGTCTAGTTCATAGAAATCATTTAATAGTTAGTGCTAGGTTGAAACTAGAATTACCTTAGGACAATCCTTTTGACTTGAATGTCTGCCTCCTTTTTGTAATACATGTATATACAAGTGCTCAGGTATTTAATATGGAGAATATGGTATTCAAACAATTTGTATCCATCTATTATTGTTTTACTGTCTCATGTAGCAATCTGACCTTGATTATAACAAATGCAAAATTGCCAAAAAAAACCTCGAACATCAAGAAACTAATTTTCGGATATACATAGTATAGCATACAGTAGTTTAATGAGTGATTTATTCTTGAGCTGGTTTTATAACTATATATACTGTTCATAAATTTGTTTTATAAGGTGGCAATCACATTTCTTTTGATGATTATTTGTGCAGGTTAATATCAGTACTTCTGCATAAAGGCATTGTGCAGTCATTAACACAACTCCTAAGGTCATATTGCTCAATGTGTAGATTATGCCTTTGCTATTGAAAATCATATGTGAAACAGATAGTCATGTGAATGCGTTTTCAGACTTTTCCATAAAAACTAAAATGTTCGTGTTAAAATTGTATGGTATTATATGTATTTTTGGTAATTTTTTTTTCAGAAAAGTTTGTTAAAACTATATACATTGAGTGGCAAAATTTACAGTGGTGTACTTTTTGTGATCTCTGGATATATTTTGCAAGAATTTTGTAACATAATCTGTAATTGAAAACTTTCTGGAGATGTTCCACTACTGTCATGAATGCTGTTTGAATGCTGAAATAAAATTTGTAAATTTTAATCCTTGTCTTACTTTATGAAATAGATGGTTTAGTTCACCTGAGCCGAAGGCTCAAGTGAGCTTTTCTGATCAAAATTTGTCTGTTGTCTGTCATTGTCATTGTTGTTGTAAACTTTTCACATTTTCATCCTCTTCTCAAGAACCACTGTGCCAATTTCAACCAAACTTGCTACAAAGTATCCTTGGGTAAAGGGGATTCAAATTTGTTCAAATGAAGGGCCACGCCCTTTTCCAAGGGGAGATAATTATGAATAAGAGAAAAATTTATGGCATTTTTTAAAAATCTTCTTCTCAAGAACCACTGGGCCAGGAAAGATGAAACTCATGTGGAATCATCCTCAGGTAGTATAGATTAAAATCATGACCCACGGGGGTAGGATGGGGCCAAAATGGAATATAGGAAAAATCTTTTAAAATCTTCTTCTCAAGAACCGCAAGGCCGGGAAAGATGAAACTCATGTGGAATCATCCTCAGGTAGTATAGGTTCAAGTTTGTTAAAATCATGACCCCTGGGGGTAGGGTGGGGCCAAAATGGCCGATCAAAGTTTTACATAGGAATATATAGGAAAAATCTTTTAAAATCTTCTCAAGAACCACTTGGCCAGGAAAGATGAAACTCAAGTGGAATCATTGTCAGGTAGTGTAGATTCAAGTTTGTTCAAATCATGACCCCCGGGGGTAGGGTGTGGCCAAAATGGCCGATCAAGTTTTTACATACGTATATGAATAGGAAAAAATCATTAAAAATCTTCTTCTCAAAAACCATTGAGACAGAAAAGATGAAACTCGTGTGAAATTATCCTCAGGTAGCGTAGATTTAAGTTTATTCAAATCATGACCCCCAGGGGTAGAATTGGGCCAAAATGGCCGACCAAAGTTTTACATAGGAATATATAAGGAAACCTTTTAAAATCTTTTCAAGTACTTCAAAGCCATGATTAGTAATATTTATATGGAATCATACTCAGGTAGTGTAGATTTCTTAAGTTCGTTCAAATCATGATCCTCTGGGGTGCTGAAATTCAAGCCCCCCCCCCCCCCCCCCTTACCTCAGTTAACTTTAAGTTCTGATCTGATATGTGCTTTCTCCTAGCTGAATGTGCTCAGGTGAGTGCTGTGGCCCTTGGGCCTCTTGTTCATTGAGGTGATTTAAGCAAGAGTTATTCCCCATGACTGCCATATTGCAGGGCAACATTCCCAGATCCATTCATTATTCAACCAAGTTCAATTTGTTACACTGGTTATTGAGGTAAAGACAACAATATTTTTCTTATGAATATATGTTTGTTAAAGCCTCTATGAATTCATATTTTTATGAATAGAGGAAAATTCACTGTTTTGCCCTACAAGATGGCTGCTAAGGGGAAGAACTCCCAGGCAAAATATGTCAAAGGAAAACTATCTATACTCATATTCCTGTAGGAAGTAATAAATTTTGATGTTGTATTGATGTGAGCTGTTGAACTGCATCAACTTGTTTTATACTATATCCGAGGCATTGGTGTTAGCCATGGCGTCCAGGTTCAAATTTAAGGAGCATGACCATTCACTGCAGTATACAGTTAAAGTATATCAATGAGGGAGTCAATTCTAGGTTCCCCATATAAATTGGGCCCCGCCTCCTTAGGTCATCTGAGTCACTCAAGTGTCCTATTGTTGTGCATTTCCGTCCTTCGTCATGTGTTAACATTTTCAGCTTCCTCTCTTAAAACCACTGAACCAATTTCAACCAAATTTGGTATACAGCATCTATGGGTGGAGGGGAACAAAATTTGTGAATTTTATGGTCCCCCCCGGGGCCTGAGGGTTGGGACCAAAACCACTAAAATTAATGAAATCATTAAAAATCTTTATTCCTGGACATCAGGCAGTCAAACTGTTTGCATGAATGTAATGAGCATAGAGTCCTCTACCAAAATTCAGAAATTGATGGCCCCAGGGTCAGGGGTTCTAGGGCAGGGCTATATAGATTATATAATGAAAATGCATAAATTCTTTGAAAAATCTTTTTCTCTGATCCTGGATATTTTTTATATAGTTATGATGAGCAAGAGTGCCCCTTCCAAAATTGTGAATTTTATGGCCCCAGGGACAAGGTTTCTGGTGTTAGGGTGGGGCTCTATTGAACATGTAGTGTAAATACACTAATTCTTTGAAAATCTTCATTCAAAAGTCATTTTGAAAAAAAGGTCCAACTTCAAAGTCACGAGGTCAAAAATTAGGGATATCAAATATTTTTTTTCCTTAGTTGAACATTCGATTGCATTATTAATTCGAATGATAGTCGACTATTCAGAATATTTTTTAAAAAATCTCATCGTGTCGTATTTATAAATCAAAAAGCCTTTTCGTAAATTTATGTAAAAAGTAACAACAAATGCCTATACAGTGTATTACACACAAATATTCAGAGGAACCTACAGTATTGCTAAAGTAGGGATAAGATGTTGAACAAGAGGCCCATGGACCACATCGCTCACCTGAGTAACTTTGGTGATGCAGTTCTTTACCAGATTTCCCCTTTTCTTACATCTATTGTGGCCCCTACCCCAACCCCCCATCTTGATTTTAATAATTTAGAATCTACACTACCCCAGGATGCCTCCAGCTAAGTTTCAACTTTCCTCGCCCAATGGTTCTTGAGAAGAAGATTTTTCCTATATACTTCTCTATAAAAATTGGATTCCCTATTGTAGCCCCGCCCTATCCCCAGGGGTCATGATTTTAACAATTTAGATTCTTCACTACCCCAGGATGATTTCACATATGTTTCAGCTATCTTTGCCCACTGGTTCTTGAGAAGAAGATTTTTAAAGATTATTCCTATGTACTTCTATGTAAAACTTGGATTTCCTATTGTGGCCCTTTTCTACCCCCGGGGGTCATGATTTTTACAATTTAGATTCTTCACTACCCCAGGATGCTTTCACATTAATTTCAGCTTTTCTGGCCCAATGGTCCTTGAGAAGAAGATTTTTAAAGATTTTTCTTATATATTTCTATGTAAAACTTGGATTTCGTATTGTAGCCCCACCCTACCCCCGGGGGTCATGATTTTTAGCTCTACTGGTCAGAGACCAGAAGAGTTTATGCGATAGTAATGCGTCCGTCTGTCTGTCTGTCTGTCTGTAAACAAAATGCTACTAGCCTACTACCCCTACAGTTTTTGTCTGATTTCAGTATAATTTGGCATACAAGTAGACTGCACTAAGATACATACTTCTGTGCATCAGTTTTGATTTCGATGAACGGTGTTGCCAAGGTTACTAAAAATAGAAATTTCTTTGAAATTCTTTCAAAATGCTACTTCTCCTACAGTTTTGGTCCGATTTCAATATAACTTGGCACACAAGTAGACTACACTAAGATACATAATTCTGTGCATCAGTTTTTGATTTTGATGAACGCTGTTATGTTGCCATGGTTACTAAAAATAGAAATTTCTTTGAAATTCTTTCAAAATGCTACTCCTTCTACAGTTTTGGCCTGATTTCAATATAACTTGGCACACAAGTAGACTACACTAAGATACATAATTCTCTGCATCGGTTTTTGCTTTGATGAGTGGCAAGGATCATTTTTCTATTTATTGCTATTTTTAAAGTTTCAAGTCGCAACTGCTACTTTTCCTTTGTTTTAAGTATAAACCAGTAGAGCTAAAGTCTCGACAGAGACTTCTGGTTAAAATTTAGATTCTTCACTACCCCAGGATGCTTCCACATTAATTTCAGCTTTTCTGACCCACTGGTTCTTGAGAAGAAGATTTTTAAAAATTTTTTCCTATATATTTCAATGTAAAACTTGAATTTCCTATTGTGGCCCCGCCCTACCCCCGGGGGTCATGATTTTAACAATATGGAATCTACACTACCCCAGAATGCTTCCACATAAGTTTCAGCTTTCCTGGCTCAGTGGTTCTTGAGAAGATTTTTTAATGATCCCACCCTATTTTTGTCTTTTCTTGATTATCTCCCCTTGGAAGGGGACCTGGCTCTTTATTTTAACAATTTACACTCCCCATCCCCCAAGGATACTTTGTACCAGTTTGGTTAAAATTGGCTCAGTGGTTCTTGAGAAGAAGTTGAAAATGTGAAAAGTTTACAGACGGACGGACGGACTACGGACAAAATGTGATCAGAAAAGCTCACTTGAGCCTTCGGCTCAGGTGAGCTAAAAAATGAAATATATTTACACCAGCAATTAAAATTCTCTAAAATGTATGAATTCTCGTAAATCATATTCATAAATTGGTCTATACATTCTTGCCGTGGGCTCAATTCAGCTTTTCTGATCACATTTTGTCCGTCACCCGTCCCGTCTGTCTAGCTTTCCGTCCGTCTGTAAACTTTTAACATTTTTGACTTCTTCTCATGAACCACTGGACCAATTTTAATCAAACCTGGTACACAGCATCCTTGGGTGAAGGGGAGTTTAAATTGTTAAAATGAAGGGCCAAGTCCCCTCTCAAGGGGATAAAATCAAGAAAAGACAAAAATAGGCCAGGGTCTTTAAAAAATCTTCTCAAAAACCACTGGGCCAGAAAAGCTGAAACTTATTTGGAAGCATCCTTGGATAGTGTAGATTTTTAATTGTTCAAATCATGACCCCCGGGGTTTGGGCGGGGCCACAATAGGGAATCAAAGTTTTACATAGAAATATATAGAAAAAATACTTTAAAAATCTTCTTCTCAAGAACCACTGAGCCAGAAAAGCTGAAACTTATGTGGAAGCATTCTGGTATAGTGTAGATTCTAAATTGTACAAATCATGACCTCCGGGGGTAGGGCGGAGCCATAATAGGGAATCAAAGTTTTACAAACAAATATATAGAAAAACAACTTTAAAAATCTTCTTCTCAAGAACCACCGGGCCAGAAAAGTTCAAGTTATCTCCCCCTAACCTTTTACTCGATGATTTTATGCAAATTCTCGCTAATCTTCACTTAGGCTTAGACTATGTACTATATATAAGGCTTTAGTCAATCGTAAATAGATTAGATGGCCTTAAGAGTGCTAATCAAGAACTTTGTGATACTGAGTTTCACTCACTTGCAATGTATCACAGTGCTTGTCAAAAAACGGTACATTTCTAAAGGCCACTCAAATCTCGTAAAATAACATGCTCAATGGAGACTTGTTTATAATGATATACATGTAATACCTGTCACCTAATATATAAGTAGAATTAAAATTCGTAAAGAAAAAATATGTTCATTATGTAAAACTGACTGTTTGTCATCTATTCTATTAATGTGCCTTTGTAAAACCACTTGTTATGCTTGTTAAAAATTGGTTAAATGTCATAACTCATAATAAATCTGAATTGTTTCGTGTCAATGATTCCTGCCCACTTCCTTTAAACAATAACCCCCAATGACCTTAGGAAGATCCCGATTGATTTTGAGGTGAAGGTCGTCAATTCAAAATGTCTGTCTGTTAAAACACTCGTTTCCGCGCGATATCTCGAGAAGCGTTTGGGTTTTTGCATTAACATTTTATACCTCAACTCCTTATTGCCTAATGAAGATCACTGTTGATTTTGAGGTCAAAGGTCAAGTACCTAAATTCAAACATTCTGTGCAAGTGTATGATAAAATTCCATTTCCAGGCGGTATCTCAAGAAGCTTTTAAGTTTATTAAATTAAATTTTATTCCATACCTTTACCTTCCTTCTTAAAGCCCCCCCCCCCAAATCAGCACATTTTCTTCTTTTTTCCTTTAGTTTGGAACAAGATACTCTGAATTAGCTTGCTAATAAAAATAATCATTTTAAAAACAAAAAGTGTTTGTGAAACACTGATGCCCCCGTATGGCAACATAGCGAAGGTTATACTTTATCAAATGCAGATCAAACATACTGGTACCTAAAGTAAGGCCTTCTCACGAGAAATACAAAAGTGAAATTAAAACACTAGCACCACCTGTTCAAAAGTTATGACCAATGCTGACATTCTTAAAGGTAGGTCAGACTCCGGGGTCAAGATCAAAGGGTCAAGGTTGTTGGTTTCCAAAGAAAGGCCTTGTCACAAAGATTACATATGGGAAGTATTAAAGCCCTTGTCAAAACCGTTCAAAAGTGATTGCCAGTGTTAAAGTTTTTAAAACATCCGCCAAACTCCAATGTCAAAGGGTCAAAGTTGTTGGTATCCAATGAAAGATCTTGTCACAAGGATAATATATGTGAATTTTGAAAGCCCTAGCCTTTACTGTTCAAAAGTAATAAGCAAGGTTAAAGTTTTTGAAAAATAGGTCACTCCAAGGTCAAAGGGTCAAAGTTGTTGGTATCCAATGAAAGGTCTTGTCACAAGGATTACATATGTGGAATATGTAAGCCTTAGCCCTTACCGTTCAAAAGTCATTACCAAAGTTAAAGTCTTTAAAAAGTAGGTTAGCCTCGAAGGTCAAAGTTGTTTGTATCCAATAGAAGGTCTTGTCACAAAAAATACATACGCGGAGTATGAAAGCACTAGCACCAACTGTTCAAAAGTTAAAGCCAAAGTAAAAGTTTGGAATTTTGGTGTAAAAGTGTGTCAGAGTCCAAGGTCAAGGATAAAAGGTCAAATCTGGTGGTACCCAAATAAAGGTCTTGTCACAAGGAATATGCTTGTGAAATATGAAAGTCATAGCTCCACTAAATCAAAAGTTATGGGCAAGGTTAAAGTTTTTGCGGACAAAAAGACAAATGGATGGACAAAGCAAACAGATAAGATAAAATATACACGGACAAAAAACCAAGGTTTTATTAAAGAATACACAAGTTTGAATTCAAAATAAAAGGATTTGGATTAAAATTATCCTAATTCAATTCAACAATCAATTTTGTAGTCTTTGTAAAAATTCTAAGGCATTTGGTTAATTTTTGGCAGTTTCTCGAGCATTCGAAATGGAAAAGTGGTAAACACTGCACACGAAAAATGGCGACGTTTTATGAAAAATGACCATAGGAGAAAAAAGATTATAAAAATATCACCATATTAAGTATACAAATGAAATATATTCTGAAATTTGCTGTGTATATTACTAAAATATGTAAAATAATTTGTGATGTTTATTTTTTACAAAAATCCACGATTTTTATATTGCCATTTGCACCTCCTATTTTACTTTTTAATCCGACACACATGTTTTAATGCAGTTATAATCATATCCACTACCATATTTATTAATATTCTTTTTATTTAAAAAAAAAATCGCTTGTACCCATATACTTCATTGCAATCTTTGTTAATTAATTACTGCTTCGAATCGTTAATTACATTTTTGCAACTTTCTCTTGGTATTTCTACTTCTTCAGCTTTAAAAATGGTGTACGATAATATTTAATCGTACACTAAACGTCAGTTCCTGATAATTTAATTACCTTTCAACGCAAACAAATGGCTGTTTGTGGTTACGGACGTCGAAATGGAACTCTTTTAAACCCACATTACAAAACTTACAGGGGGAGATAATCAAGAAATGATGAAAATAGGTTGGGTCATTAAAAAATCTTTTCAAGAACCACTGGGCCAGACAAGCTGAAACTCCATTCTGGGGTAGTGTAGATTTTAAATTATTCAGTTCATGTATATGCCCACTCTATCAGATGTCCATCAATAAAAACTGAGATAAGTTATAAGAGGTCTTTAAATTTTTCTAAATTCTCACTGTATTCCCTTCAGTTTTGATTGTTTTCCACTTTGTAAAAAAAGTTTTAAAAGGGGTTTACTTTAAATCTTGACTAGTTATGTATTCTAAATACAAAAAGAAAGTTTTAAATGAAAATAGACGTAAAAAACAAAAACATTTCATAATATTTTGAAACAAAAGTTCAGTTAGTTTTCCTACATATAGTCTATTAGTGCAATAAAACTGAAATTGTGTCAATATCATTCGATTGCAAAGCAAGAGATATATATATTCACGTTAGTTTCATTTTTCAGAGTAATAGTAAAATTCATCCGAAGGTGCGTTATTGAAGGTTTTTCCAATATCTGTTGAAATATCTTTGAAACTTGGTCTTTGCTTTGGCTTTGAATTCCAGCAACTGCGCATGATCCCATGGTAGCTATATGTTTGGAAGTAAAAAGAGGAATAGCAAAAATTTTCGTCGAAAGTTCAGGTTTTCGTAGATTTTATGAATGATCTGCACCTTATGAAAGAAATTTTCCTGTTTAATACTATTAACTAACTTACAACTCATTAGCAAACTCTGGCTTAGTCATTCGATGACCGTTTTTTACATGTGTTTGCACATCCCTGCTGCGTATTCCCGGATAGGGAGTTTCACCTAATCAACGAAATGTAAAAAATATAAGAAATTTATTACTCATCATCAATAGATATACATGCGTTTTCTCCGTTTATTTTCAATCAGACAATTATGAACTATATTATATACATACCTAAACTAAAGACCTCCCATAAAACAATTCCAAAAGACCAAACATCACTTTTTGTGCTAGCATTTTTCATTGACATCAAACATTCTGGTGCTGTCCACTTCACGGGGATTCGTTCCTAAGGTAGATAATTTTTCACAATGTTTAACTTAAATTTCATGATATTCAGCTGAATGTACAATGTAAATATACTGATTTAAGAAAAACAAACGCATATGTCGATTTTTCAGAGCAGAATTATACTTTTTCAGAGTAAACTGTTGATTATCAATTATCACAAAATCAATCATCCGGGAATAGTTTTCTTTGTTCGTGCGTTTTCATGAAAAAAAAAAAGTTTTATTCGAACACACTCGGTTCAAGCAAATTTATAATTTTCCGAAGTTTTTCAATCGAGCATGCATTTTGCACTTAATATTTTCTCCCATACAGTACCACGTTTAGGAAATGTAGAGAGGGGAACTGCTTTAGCCTGGATAATGGAGGGCTTATCACACAGTGTGCCAGACGTTTAGGCGTCTCCTAATCAAGACTATTCCTGCTAAATAATCGAGTCAGAGACGGGGAACATACATGTTAATGACTCCGTCCACGAAGTGGTCTGTCTAGGTCGACCAACTCCGGGACGATCGAGTAATCCGACTCTCACACTTGTGGGACAGGAGTAGGATGGCTTCCCACGAAGATTAAGTGAAAAAATCTTTCGAAACACGCTTAGAGAATTCGGTATAAGAGCTAGGAGATCATATGTTAGACTACCACTACATAAGACAGAGGTTGCGAATTGATTGGTTGAAACGACATGACATTGATAGTCATATTCGCCGTCGCCCATAAGCCGCCCAGAATCCTCAGCAGCTGATAGAACAGTCGATGAAAAATGGGATGGGCTTCCACAACGAACTGTGTCATCCAATTATCCATAAGAGAACATGCTAGAGAGACAACTTGCCCGTAGAATAATTCGCCCTATTCGAATTAGAATGTGCCATTTATTGGCAAATCTCACTTTTAAATCTGCATATCGTATCCATTTATTCATTGACGCATCCGAATTTCTTTCTTATACATATACTTTAATATACAAATTAAACATTGATTCTATGGCATATGCATTTGAAAAAGTAGGAAGAACTTACAGAATATAGATAACTTTAAAAGCTGAATTAAAAACTTCATTCAACGAATAGTTCTAGGATTTAAAAAGATAGAGCAAGTCTTTACCGCATTTGTTTTGTGCATCAAGGCTCGCAAAATGATTTGATATACAGCAATCCAAATACAGCTTGACACAGGCCTGTAGCAACGTTATTCCATACGGAGGAGGGGAGGGGGGCTCCGAAAAAAAAATCTGCGTACCACAGAGCTGTGCTACACGTGTACCATAAAAACTATTTTTCTTATTACAGATTTCTTCCGTATAAATCCAGAACTCTAGCCGTTATGGGTTACATGTATCAAAATAGCCAGATTTTTTTTTTTTTACAAATGACAAAAGGCTAATCGGAGATAAAAACATTTTTTTTTCTATGAAAGTACTATCAGTCAAAGTAGGCAGATCATACGAAAATGTGAACGAACCTACATAAATATTCACTAAACCTAGAAATTTTCTCTAATTGAATTTCGGTTAGAAACACATGCATATGATCAATGTATTGTATAGTCCTTTTATTTAAAGGACAGCAAACTTTTTTTTTTGACGATAAAAACTCAAGACTATTGTGATTTAATTGAAAAGTGATATAGGTTATGTAGAATAAAAATAGAATATTTTCCTTGTTGATTTCATTTAACTTTTGAGTTTAAGGGCATACGCAACGTAGTTTATACTTTTTGTTCTTTTTCCATGGAGTTTAAAGAGTTGCAATTCTTGAGGAAACTGTGTTCTATATTCAAATGTCTATATTATATATATGGTGTTGTACACTCCTTCTACAGCAATTTTTGATAATTGAAACGTTTTATTATACTGATGTATAATATATGAGGTTTTAATTTTTTGGAGTAAGATAATTTTTGAAATATATCACAATGCTACTGAAGTCATTATGACATCATCAGTTGATAGATCTATCGTTGGAAATCAAAATTGGAGGCAAAAATTGCGTGAAAATTTTCCGAGGGCGGATAGCAAAAAACTATACCCCGGGGTATAGCTTTGCTATCCGTGAACTATAAAAGATAGCTATTTTACCCTCTGAACTTTATATAGGAAACATTTTAACAGAAGTATAATAAATGGTGTTGTACACTTCTTCTACAGCAATTTTTGATAATTGAAACAGCTAGAATATATGTTTAGGATTTTTGATATATTTTTCTTTAAATCACCCAAGAATTTTAATCAATTGATATCTTTCAAAAATCCCTGGTAATGCAAACCGCTTTTTTGTCTATGAACATCTGATGACATTAAACATTAAACTGTTTATTTATAGGAATGTCTTGAAAATCTATCAGTGGGTAAGGTACCTTGTGTATGCCTTTCTTTCTCCTTTCAGTATATTTAAGTTTAAATGTTTTGTCAACTTTCAAGTGACGATACATACATATACATGTAAAACATTTCCAAGTTTTTCGCCTATATTTTTTTTCAATATGTTAATCTTGCAATGACTTGAAGTATTGTAAAGTTGGCAATTTCTTCTAATTATTATATAAAATCATAGATATAGTTTCTGACTTAAACCTTTTCGTCAGACGTCACATCTCCGTCGCTGTCGTTGCGCTGTTGTTGCGGCGGTTCAGGACCAAATCCATAGATCTTGGGCTCTAGCTCACCAGTAAGCAAAACATTTCGTGCGGCAAGTCTTCTGTGGACAAGCTGAAAGATTTGTAAAAAGACTAAATTTACCTATCCATTTGATTTGTTATCAGTTTTGCAGTAGAAGAAATTCTTACTTTTTTGGTCTCGAGGTAACGCATTCCTTTAGCAATTCCGTAAACAATACGAAATAGGAGTTCTACAGTGTCCACCGTTGAGGCATTCTTTTGTTGTAGCAGCCAATCTCGGAGTTGCCCCTTTTCACAATATTCCAATACCATGTATGGCCCAACTGTAAATTCATCAGGAAACTTTCTTCACCCGTTTAAAATTCTCTCTCATGATGCTTATAAATTCTTTTGTAAGATCATAGTATTTTACGCGACCTTTCAAAAAAAGAAGCCAAGCCAATTGACACTCAATTCAAATATGTAAAATTAGCCATTAGTAACTGGCTATGACATGTGAGTAAAGCTACCTACTAATTACTGACTTAAAATGTGGATAAAGCTAGCTTCTAAAACGAGGTAAGTAATTGACAAACCAGTCCCTGACAAACAGTTTATATTCTATGGTGGATACAATAACCTTGTCAGAAAATACAATCTATCACTAAGTCACTGCATTGTCGACGGATTTTCTCGTGATTTCCCCCCATCGTGACAAGGAGTACACAGCGTGACCGTCCGTGGGGGATACTCACTCCTCCATGACACCTGATCCCACATCAATGTTTAAGAGGTTCGTGTTTCCTCCCATGATTTGAACTGTTTGATACAATGGACTACTGAGCTCGAATGGTGTTCGTTATCTTCATGTATTTCATTTGTAGTAACTGGCTACCAGTAACTTATGGTACTTAAAATGTGAGTAAAGGTAGCTAAGTACTATATAGTAACTGGGACTTCTGAGCTCGAATGGTGTTCGTTATCTTGTAGTAACTGGTTACTAGTAACCTAGTGCTTAAAATGTGAGTAAAGGTAGCTACTATAGTAACTGGGGTACGGCATGTGAATAACGCTAGCAGTTATTTATCTGGCGGCCGCCGTGTAAATTTTTGTTTCTTACCTAGCACCTATTAACG